CGACGAGGGAGACTAGGTTTCAGACCCAGCGTACAGGCTGGGGCACGAGGAGAGGCAGGAACGAGTCAAGGGGAAGGGGAGGTTTCCTCTTCAACCCCAACCAAAATAGACCCAAGACCCAGCCCAAGTGACTGGAGAAGCCAGGTGGGAGCAAGACTGGGGCGCTTCCACGCACAATGGCTGAGGATCACCCAGAACACTTATATTCTAGAGGCCATTCACAGAGGGTACAGAATAGAGTTTATAAGGCCCCCCCCTCAAAGATTCTTCGCAACACCCCTGCCAAGGGACAGGGAGAAGGCGGATGCATTGGTAGACCTCCTGGAAGGAATGCTCAGGCAGAATGTGATTTGCCGGCTGGAGGAGGAAGAAAGGGGAAGTGGGTTCTTCTCCCACTTCTTCCTAATGAAGAAGTCGTCGGGAACCTACAGGATGATACTGAATCTGAAGAAGGTAAACGAGTTTGTGAAACCCAGGAAGTTCCGCATGGAGACCATATACACGGTAAAAGAACTCCTGCCGCCAGGGGCGTTTATGGCCTCAATAGATTTGAAGGATGCATACCTGCACGTCCCGATAAGAGAGGAATGGAAGTTCCTGAGGTTTGCGCTGGAGGGCGAAAAAAGAACCGTTCTATTTCAGTTCAATGCACTCCCCTTTGGCCTGTCATCAGCCCCGAGGATATTTACCAAGATCCTAGCGGAACCTTTAAGAGTTTTGAGGCTGGAAGGGATAAATGTCATCACCTACTTGGACGACCTGCTTCTATTTTCGGGTTCAGAAAGAGGCCTGAGATCCCACGTAGAACGTACAATATCTTTTCTAGAGAGCTTGGGGTGGCTAATCAACGAGGAAAAATCACAGCTTGTTCCCTCCAGGAGGATCACGTATTTGGGGTACGTCCTGGACTCCACAAATGCTTGTTCATACCTGACAACGGAAAAAGCTCTCAAACTGCAGCAGGACACGAGGGCCTTCCGGAAGATGTCGACCTGCACAGTCAGGACCGCCATGAGGCTAGTCGGGAGCATGACGGCCGCAATACCAGGGGTGCAATGGGCACAGCTTCACTCCAGGGTTCTACAGAATCACACCCTTTCCCACTGGGATGGCAGCCGAGCAGATCTGAATTCCAGGATCCGCCTCACACACAAGGTGAAGGAATCACTAAGGTGGTGGGGGAACATCCACACATTGGAGATGGGAAGGAGATGGAAGCAAGCCAGCCCAGTGAGGATCACCACGGATGCAAGCATGACCGGGTGGGGTGCTTATATGGAAGACTGCCTGGCCCAGGGCACGTGGGATGCAGAAAATTCAAGCAAGTCATCAAACTACAGGGAGCTGTTGGCGATCTTCAAGGCGCTTACGACCTTTCAGGAAAGGGTTAAGGGGAGAGAAGTCCAGATTTTATCCGACAACACTACGCCAGTAGCCTACTTGAACAGGCAGGGAGGCACGAAGTCCCCGGGCTGATGGAGTTGGCAGGAACCCTCCTGAGCTGGGCAGAGATGAACCTAGAGTCCATCACTGCGGTACATCTAAAAGGGGATCTGAACCAGTTGGCGGACCAGTTGAGCCGGAAAAAGGTCACCCAGACAGAATGGTGCCTCAGCCGCTCAGCGTTCAACCAGATATGCGCCAGATGGGGCACCCCCTCTACGGATCTCTTCGCCAACAGCCAAAACGCGAAGCTAGAAAGATACTTCTGCCTGCAGAAGGACCCCAGGAGCGCAGGAATAGATGCGCTAGCCCAGCATTGGCAAAGAGACCTCCTCTATGCCTTCCCTCCATTCAGATTGTTACCAAAGGTGGCACAGAAGATCCAGTCATCTCAAGCCACGGTCATTCTGATTGCACCATTTTGGCCCAAAAGGTCATGGCTCTCCCGGTTGAGGGAACTAAGCTTAACAGACCTATGGATGATCCCACCTTCACACGATTTACTCGCCCAAGGGGGAGTGCTGCATCCTCATCCGGAAAGGCTGTCCTTAGCAGCGTGGCTTCTGAGCGGGACAGGCTAGCGGAGAAGGGGCTGTCGGAAAGAGTGTTTGCCACCATCTTGGACGGCAGGAAGAGATCGACAAACGCCTTATATGATAAAGTCTGGAAGATATTTTCCGCCTGGAGAGACACCAACGAGGCAACGGGGGCCCCCATCTTACATACAGTGCTTGAATTCCTTCAAGCAGGGGCGGATAAGAACCTGGCCGCCAATACCCTTAAAGTGCAGGTAGCGGCTCTGTCAAACTTTCTGGAGTTGAGGTTGGCGGCAGACCCGTTAATAATCAGATTCCTGAAGGCTATCTCCAGGCGCCGAGCCCCGTCCACACCAAAATACCTCACATGGGACCTGGGCATGGTTCTGAAGAGCTTTCAGCAAGGGCCTTTCGAACCACTAGATGAATGTTCTCTCAGTTTTCTGACTTTGAAAACCATCCTCCTCACAGCATTGGTTTCCGCCCGCAGAGTCAGCGAATTGCATGCCCTATCAGTAATTGAGCCATACTGCACGATCTTGTTAGACAGAATCCTCCTCCGCACAGACGCGGCATTTCTACCTAAGGTCGAGTCATATTTCCATATGTCGCAGGAAATAATACCTTCCCTTGATGACAAACCAGGCACCATGGAAGAGGAGGACTATAGCAAATTAGATGTGAGAAGGTGTTTGATTACGTACATTGAATGCACAAAAACATGGAGACATTCGTCCCGGCTCTTCATCCTATTCCAGGGTCCAAGAAAGGGGGACGGTGCCTCCAAGGGCACCATAGCAACGTGGATAAGAGAGGCAATCTCGGAAGGTTACGGAGCGGCGGGCCTGTCACCACCGCCCGGCCACCGCGGCCTCCTGGGTGGAAAAAGCGGGGGCCTCCCCCGGACAGATCTGCAGAGCCGCAACGTGGTCCAGTTTCGCCACCTTCGCTAAGCATTACAGATTGGATCTGATTGGCAGTAAGGACCAGGCGTTCGGCAGGAAGGTCCTACAAGCAGGGGGCCCACCCTAATGTACGTATTTCTATTCTACTCCTCTCAAGTGTAGCTGTCCTAGAAGATGACTCGGGAAAATGCAGTTATTTACCTGTTAACTGTATTTCCAGGAATCTTCTAGGACAGCGTAACTCCCTCCCGATTGCTGTGTGATCATACATTAATGTCTAGGAATGCTATGAACCTATGATGGGGTGTCTTTATTACTGGTTTTCTTTTTTTGCTTTCTCCTAGGCCTTTGGTCATATTCTTATACTGGGGGCCACTGGGAGAGAGGACACATATAAGGGGGGAAAAGGTGGAGCGGGTGTTTCCTGGGAGGAGCCCTATCTCTCAAGTGAAGCTGTCCTAGAAGATTCCTGGAAATACAGTTAACAGGTAAATAACTGCGTTTTTTTCCCAAGACCTCTTCCAGTGGGAAAATGTTTGAATTACATAGAATCAGGCCTTTTGTTTCATCGGGAACACAGGGGTATGCAGTTCCGGCACCTCAATCACTGAATGTATGTAATCAGGGGTGTCCCTAGGGTTGGTGTCATCCGGTGTGATAACACTTGATGACACCCCCTCTGATGATGCCCGCAGAATAGATGGGATCTGCGTATTGAGCATAATGGATCGGACTTCAATCCATTATGCTCCCCAATCCGCAGATCCGATCCATCCTGCGGGGATCATCGGCTTTCTTTACTTTACAGCTTACCTTTTCGTGGAAAGGGCCCAGTGTCACTCCATATAGGTTGCATGCCGACTATCCCCGCAGGATGGTTCAGATCTGCGGATTGAGCATAATGGATCAGAGTCTGATCCATTATGCTCCCCAATCCGCAGATCCGATTCATCCTGCGGGAATCATCAGTATGCAACCTATATAGGGTGACACCGGACCCGCTCCACGAAAGGTAAGCTGTAAAGAAAGCCGACGATCCCCGCAGAATGGATTGGATCCATCCTGCGGGATCGTCGGCTTGCTTTACAACTTACCTTTTCTTGGAGTGGGTCCGGAGTCACCCCGTGCGGTAGGTGTCACCTGGTGCGGAGAGCACACCGCGCACCTGCCTTGGGACGCCACTGTATGTAATGGCAAAGGGTCCTGGAGGGTTTACCCCTAGACGCCGAATGCACACAAATATGCGGCCTCTCGGCATATGGGCCTTGACGCTGAGCAGCTTACATACCATTTGAAAATACATATGTGCTGAGAACGTGCGCCCTACGTGCTCCCAGCACATACAGTTGCAAGAAAAAGTATGTGAACCCCTTGGGATTCCGTGGAGTTTTGCATGAATTGGGCATAAAATGTGCTCTGAACGTCATCTAAGTCACAACAATAGAAGAACACAGTCTGCTGAACATAATACTACACAAACATTAGATGTTGCCATGGTTTAATTGCACATAACATACAAACATTCACAGTGCAGGGAGGAAAAAGTATGTGAACCTTTGGACTTAATAACTGGTTGACCCTCCTTTGGCAGCAATAACCTCAACCAAATGTTTCCTGTAGTTGCAGATCAGACCTGCACAACGATCTGGAGTCATTTTGGACCACTCCTCTTCACAAACCTGTTTCAGTGTAGCAATATTCTTGGGATGTCTAGTGTGAATCGCTCTCTTAAGGTCATGCCACAGCATTTCAATCGGGTTGAGGTCAGGACTCTGACTGGGCCACTCCAGAAGGCGTATTCTGTGCTGTTGCAGCCATTGTTTTGTTGAATTACTTGTATGCTTTGGGTCATTGTCCTGTTGCACCACCCATCCTCTGCGGAGCTTCAGTTGGCGGACAGATGGTCGTATGTTTTCCTGCAAAATGTCTTGATAAACTCTGGAATTCATTTTCCCATCAATGACAACAATCCGTCCAGGCCCTGAGGCAGCAAAGCAGCCCCAAACCATGATGCTCCCTCCGCCATGTTTTACAGTGGGGATGAGGTTTTGATGTTGGTGTGCTGTGCCTTTTTTTCTCCACACATCGTGTTGTGTGTTCTTCCCAAACAACTCAATCTTGGCTTCATCTGTGATCTCCCACTGCTGATCACGTGATGTGGTAAAAGGCCAATCACAGCGGCCTTTTACCCCGTGATCAGCTGTGTGCAATGACATGCTGATCACAGGGAAATGCAATTGCCGGTTCTCGGCTGCACTTTCCTCACGCTGTCAGATCGTGAGGAAAGTACTGCCGAGAACCAGCAGTTGTTAGAGCAGGGATCGGTGATGATCAGTGCCCTGATGATCAGTGCCAGCAGTGCCACCCACCAGTTCCGCCCACCTGTGCCCAGCAGTACAACCACCTGTGCCCAGCAGTGCCCACCAGTGCCACCCAGCAGTGCCACACACCTGTGCCCAGCAGTGCCCACCAGTGCCACGAAGAAGTGCCACCTACCTGTTCCCAGCAGTACCACCCACCAGTGCCCATCAGTGCAGCCCAGCAGTGCTGCCAGTCAGTGCCACCAGTCAGTGCCCAGTGGTTGTGCCAGTCAGTGCCCAGCAGTTGCGCCAGTCAGTGCCTAACAGTGCCGCCAGTCAATACCTAGCAGTGCCGCCAGTCAGTGCCCAGCAGTGATGCTAGTCAGTGCCACCTATCAGTGCTGTCTATCAGTACCCGTCATCAGTGCCGCCTATCAGTGCCACCTCTCCGTGCCACCTCATTAGTGCTGCCTATCAGTGCCGCCTATCAATGCCCTTCAGTGCTGCCTATCAGTGCCCATCAGTGCTGCCTCATCAACGCACATCAGTAAAGGAGAAAAATTACCTGTTTGCAAAATTTTATAATAGAAACAAAGAAACTATTTTTTTTTTTTTTTTCAAATTTTTTGCAGTTTTTTTGTTTCTAGCGCAAAAAGTAAAACACCCAGTGGCGAGTAAATAAAACCAAAAGAAAGCTCTATTTATGAGAAAAAAAAATGATAAAAGTTTCATATGGGTAAAATCTTGCATAATCGCACAATTGTCAATCAAAGTGCGACAGCGCTGAAAGCTGAAAATTGGCCTGGCAAGGAAGGGGGTATACGTGCCCGGTAGGCAAGGGGTTAACTAATATACTGAACATGTGGTTTGTTTTTGCGGTATAGATATTTTCACTGTTGAGCATGCAGGAAGTTTCCTCCTTCGGTTATCTAAACCACATGCACATAACTTTCTGAGAGGCTATTTCTTGAGATCGTTTAACTGTTTCTTGTTGTCACCATCATGGAGGACCGTTTCCTATAAGGTATATGTCTATTGTTTATTGTTCCTTGAATATCATGTGTATATTTTCTATTGGTTCCAGGGACTAATGTCTCATCCCTTTTCTCTAATGTATATAAGCTGTCCTGACCTGAATACAGTTGAATATAGACTGAGTGATCATATGTGTCTGAAGTCTTATTCCCGAGAGCTCATTACAGGTTGAATGGAGGCTGGCCAGCAAAAGAGTACCTACCGAAGGGTACTAACCTATCTGGGCGGTATTGGTAGGTTGGCTTGGGTTGGGACCAAGGGACAGTGCTCAGAGGTGGGTAGGGGGCTGAGCTGAGAAGTGACTATTCTCCTGCATAGAACGATCACATAGGATTTCTGAGGAAATTTTACTGACTGGTAAAAAACATGACGAAGAACCACAGAATGAATATTTTGTTCACTTTATGGAGCCTTTTTTACTTTTTGCTTATTAGTTTGATTCAATAATAACTTTGAGTTTTTTGTGTTAAATTTTTTTTTTATATTAGATTTGCCATAGGCGCTTATTTAGATTTATTTTGTTTAGTTGGGCATCACAATCTATTATCTATCTAGTGCTACCCCATAGAAGCCACTGTAGATGTACACAGGTTCTCTCTGTGATCAGTGCATGGCAGCCAGGCACACAGCAGCAGTTCATCCACTCTGCCTCCATAAACAGTCTAGGGGCGTCTTTTTGAAGTTTATTACTAAGTAACTGGTAACTTGGGAGGACAATGGGGTATGAGATACTCCAAAATGCTTGATGCACAAACTGCAGAGGACTCTTCCCTTTCTCTAATCAGCAGCAATACAGTCATTCACTCCCAGTTGAGGACCAGGACAAATTGCTGGGCACATGTAGCAGAACTAGGCTGAAGTAGTCTAGATTCTTGTAGCTGGGAACCATAAGATATTGCAGCACAGGGGTCTGGCTTTACTCACAGATCCTGGCAATGATCAGTCCAGAGAAGCAACCTCCAGCAGAGTCGTCCAGCTGCCATTCCAAGAATGGGGGGGGGGTCAGGAACAAGCAGTCCCCCTTTCCATTAGCATGTGGGTCTGTCTCCACATGAAGAAAGATGAGCATGTGGGTCTGTCTCCACAGGAAGAAAGGCAAGAACTTTCAGGGTTCCAGACTATTTAACAGTAACCCAGCCATCCTTTGAGCACACCTGCCCAGGGATTGGCTAAACCCTACTAAATATTTAGACTGGGGATTTGAATCCGCCCTAAGCTGTAGAAGCTTCTTCTAGAGGCGGGGAGAAATAGCCAAAGTCCCAGAATGTGAAAGCATGGACAGGCTATAATCAACCATTACTGCTTCTATGACAACAGAAGAAGCCAAAACATTTGCCTAACAGCCTAGTGGGATGGGTGCTACATAAGTATTTCAGGTGCATTTCTCACTACTCTTCTAGTGGGTTGTGTTGCAGTTCACAGTGGATGGTACCACAACGCACTATGTGCACTACATTACCACAATGCATAAGAGTAAATACAAAATACAGACCTTATTTGTGAAGCATTATTTTGACAGCAGGCTGAACCATAGCATTCCTGCTTGTATCATCATTATAAACATTAGTCCCATCAGAAACTATTAGGGAGGGACTAAAGTGCAGAGTAGATAGGCTGACTCTGAGTTCCAGTGTCACACCAAAGTTCCTGCTAGTGAGAAGCTGAATTCCAGGCTGGTTGGACAACAGTTGGAGGATCTCACCATCACTGCTGATCTTGTCTTGATCTTGTGGGCAGCACAGTGGCTAAATGGTTAGCACTTCTGCCTGGCAGTACTAGGGTCATTGGTTCAAATCCTACCCCGGCACCACCTGCCTGGAGTTTGCATGCTCTCCCTGTGCCTGCGTGGGTTTCCGCGGGTACTCCAGTTTCCTTCCACACTTCAAAGACATGCTGGTAGGTTAATTGGCTCCTGTCTAAATTGGCCCTAGTATGTGTATGTATGAATGCGAGTTAGGGACCTTAGATTGTACACCCCTTGAGGGTTAGGGACTAGAGATGAGCGAAGAAATGAAAAATTCGATTCGACTGATTCGGCGAATTCGTGGACAATATTCGATTCGAGTCGAATAAATTCGCTGTGAATTTAACTTAAAAAAGGGTGTTTCTAGGCTTCAGAGAGACTTAATATTAGTGCAGAACACTGTACCTTTAATTTAAATGCCCTTGGAGTCTGCTGGGGAAGAGAAATAATACTGTCAGTCAGTATGACATGCAGATGAGTGCCGTCGATCTTAGAATCACCGCACACTTCACTCATTTGGCCAGTCACGGGGCCAAAACCAGTGTTTGGAGCCACAGTGTGGCGGTGGAGCCAGCAGCAATGGGAGGCCATACAGCAACCTATGACAAAATGGAAACCAGCAGGAGTGTGAGGAGACCTGAAAGTGGCACATGGCAGAGTGGGAGCAATGGGAGGCGGTACAGGGACCCAGGTCACACTGTGGGACCAGCATCAGCGTGAACAGGCGGTACGGGGGCCCATGGCCGATTTGACCTCGTTCATCCCATAGTCCTGCCGACTCACGAATAGCGTGGCCTCCTCAAAGGGCCTGAGCAAGCGCAGGTGTCACGCATGAGCTGACAATGGCTGACATCTAAGTTACACAGGGAGTACCTTTATCCGCTTTTAACATCAGGAAATCTGTGATGGCCTTTAGCTGTTCGTAAAGGCGGTCTAACATATGTAGGGTTGAATTACACCTTGTTGCAACGTCACAGCATGAGGAGTCGGTACGGGGGCCCATGGCAGATTACGTGCCTGGCAGCAGCAATGGGAGGCCCGTAATCTGCCAGCACCCTATGTCAAAAAATTGCACACCAGCAGTGTGAGGAGACCTCAAAGTGGCACATGGCAGAGTGGAAGCAATGGGAGGCCGTACAGGGACCCAGGTCACCACTGTGGGCCCAGCAGCACCATG